AAGCAGGCATCAACTGCATCGCATTGGAAGGAAGACAGACTGGAGCCAGCCTGGAGCTGGCAGCTAGAAGAGGCCACAGCCGCTCAGACTGGCCAGGACAAGGCACTGCTTGCCGTTTTTACAGCCTGGACAGTGACCGTGTTTTGTCTGTGTTCAGTCACGGTTACGGAGGGGTCTTGTTTTTGTATAGATCCATCGTGGTCACAGAGTAGTCTGATGTTGATGTTCTATGAAATTGTAACCAGGAGACACGGAGGCCTGTATCTGTGAGTGCCAGGCCAGCTCTGGGCAACACTGAGGCTAGAAGATAGGACCAGTCACCTCCCAGATGTCAGCAACTGGTCTTCTTTGTCACCTGCGCTCCTTATGTCACTCGCTGGCTGGGACACAGCAGATAGCAGACCTCTCCGCTGGCAGACACGTCCCAGCTGCCTTTGGCTGCACCCAGCCTGGCTTAAGTAGCACGTCCCGATGCTTCTGGAAGCATCTGTGCTGGCGGCTCCTCTAGCATGTCTCAACTGCTTCCTTGCCACTCACTTCACCTGTTCACAGACCCATGGCTTCCCCTGTATCTTCTATTGCCAGACTCAACTTCCTAAACGCAAACCCAGCTGCGTCCCCTGCCCGAGTGCCCTTCACCTGCAGGACAGGCCCAAGTCCTCCTGTGTTCAGCCCTGGCCTTCTCTCTGGCAATAGGGGTCTTTGCTGTAGATCCTCTGGCCCCCTGGCCCTGCCCCACACCTCTGGACCTTGCCATCCTCAGGGAGCCTCCCTAAAGCCTCTCCCTCTCAGCCAAGAGTTTGTGTCCACCTCAAACTCCTCAAGAAAACACTGTCCTGCCACATTTCACTTGGCAGTTATTCCTGAGACCACTCCCTTGCCCCCACACCAAGTTCTTGTTAGCCATATAAACTTTATTCTCATTTTTTGTGTAAAATCCTGAGGGGTCTGGGAGCTGGAGCTAGGCAGGCTTCTTCTCCTCCTCGGCATGCTGGAGCACAGGCGGGCACCCGGAGGAGGAACTGCACTTGCTCAGGAAACGGCCAGAAGGAGAGGTGGGGGAAGGGGGAACCATGTGGCCCACCCACTGCTTAGCACGTGACTACGGTTAACCACTGCAGAAGGCAAGGTGGACTCCAGGAGGTGCCCTCGTGGCTGGGAAGGCAGTGTGCGTCCCGCTCTGTAGATGGGAAGGCAGTGTGCGTCCCCCTCTGCGGCCGGGAAGGCAGCGTGCGTCCCGCTCTGCAGATGGGAAGGCAGTGTGGTCCCGCTCTGCAGAGGGGCTGTCTGTGAACAATGACAGCACTGCACCTGCAGCAGGGAGCCCTCTCGTGGCTCAGGTTGTGCAGGGTCAGGGCCCCGGGCTGAGGGGCAAGGGAACAGCAAGAGGACAGCTGTAGCCACCAGTGGGCAGGTGGCAAGGCCTGTGTGCCATGCTAAGGAGCGTGGACTTCGTCTGGAGGGCACCGCCGAGGGTTTTAGGAAGGCGGGTAGTACAATGGACGTGATGGATGTTTCAGAAACATGCAAGGGTCCTGGTGGAGGGCGGGTAGGCGAGGAAGCCGGGTGAGGCACGGGAAGGTGGGAGGGCGAGGGAAGTGGGGCAGTCCTTCTCCGGCCTGGAGATAATGCAGGAGCAGGTGTCAGGGAGGATGAGCTTGTACCTGGGCTGCCCACGGCTGCGGTGCCTGTGGACATCAGGGTGGCGCTGGCTTCGCACACAGAGGTGCCAGCACCAGTTAAACAAGGGGACCAACCAAGTGGTGGGGAGGAGCCTTGAGCGATCCTTAGACCATGCTGCACGGAGAACCTCAGGAGAAAGGCTGAAGTGGAAATGTCCAAGTTCAAGGCTCCCCCTGGGTCCAGAGCGGGGGGCCGTGAGAGCTCAGCGGGGCTCAGACGCAGCCAGGTCCTGGGCAGTGGAGGGACCCCCAGCCTCCTGTAGGCAGCCAGTAGCAGGAGCCACAGGGCAAGAAATGCAGCATAGGCTGTAACTGAGGGCTCCACAGGACTGGGCCTGGGCAGGCCAAGGGGCGCCCATAGTTGAGCCCTGTCTCTGTCTAGCTCTTGGACAGGATCTGCAGCCTACATTTCTTATAGGGAGGCTGGAGAGGAGCAGGGACCTCTGTGTGAGGCGGGCCTGGGTGGTACACCAGGATGCCCATGCAGATGGACCGCCCAGAGCTGGGGAGGCCCAGGAAAGGCCAAGGAGCATGGCAGGCTGCCCTGGGGAGCCTCCCTAAATCTCCCTAGGGACGTGCCCAGGTGACAGAATAGTGAGGGGCCTACACTGTGCCAGCTCCAGGGAACACCTGGTAGACACAGCCAGGCCACTTACCATCGGGGTGCCCTAGCACAGGCTTAGCTCCCTCTGGACACCCTAGGGTCTCTGTCCATCGGAGATGTGGGCAGAGACTTGGCATTGTATTAACCTCCACTATTCATTTCTGGTCCTGTGCCCCCATCGGTGGGGGGATCTGAAGCCCCTCCCCATTTAATGTTGAAAATGGCAGAGAGAAGGGTGACCAGAGAAAGGCAGAGAGCAGATCCCATTTATTGGAATTTCAGTGACAGCGGAATGAGAGAGGAAGGCTTCCTCCTCCCCTGAAACATGCCGTCCTCTCTGCCCTCAGGGCTCAACACAGGGGTAAGACCCCCACCCGGCATGTCCCCCAGAGGGCAGCACTCCAGGGCAGGGGGGAGGGAAGGGGTGCTCTACGCCAGGCTGGGGAGCTGGGACGGGAGGGAAGACGTGCACCCTCACCTCTTGGCTCAATCCCTCTCCCCAGGACCTGGTGTTGCCCCCAGTCCCTGGGGTGGGCTGGCAGACAGGGCTCATGCAACAATGAGTGGACAGGAGGTGGCACGGAAACGTGGCCTTGTTGCCCCTTGGCAGGGGCGGGAGGACTAAAGGGGCCATGCTGTGGCCACAGTGGGTCCGAATGAAAGTATCTGCAGTGTACGTACAGGAGGGTCAGAGAGGGGTGTCTTCTGCCCCAGGCTGTGCCGGGGGACGAGGGAGGGGAAGTACAGATGGCACTGCCATGCCAGGGGCAGGGTCCAGGCCAGCCATGCCACCTGAGTGGGCACAGCGAGCTGGGGCTCAGCTACTCCTTGGCGCGGCCAATGATGGTGAGAATGTATAGGAAAATGTTGATGATGTCTGTGTACAAGTTCAGCGCAGCAAACACGTACTCCTCTGGGCTCAGGGACAGCTGCTTGTTCCCCAACAGCAACTGGGTGTCCACTGCCAGGAACTAGAGGTGACAGCACGGCAGTGTGAGGGACAAGCCTGCCTGCCCAGCATGCCACCCCCAGCCAAGGCCGCCCCTCGTCACTCACGCAGGTGAAGAGCAGAGCGCCCAGTGAGGCGTACACGATCTCCAGGATGCGGTTCCGGATGAAGATGCAGAGGATGGCAAAGATGAAGAGCACCACCATGCTCACCAGGAGCACACCCATGCACGAGGTGAAGTCGTAGCGGGTCTGCAGACAGGAGAGGAACGGGCCATGGGGCTGGGCCTGAAAGGCCGCTCGGCCCCTGGGGCCACAGCGCTGCCATGGGAGGCCCCTCACCTGCATGGAGAAGATGACCACCGTGAAGCAGACGACTGTGGTGATGCCCACGGCCATGATGACTGCCTCAGTGTTGTAGAAGCTGGCGATCATGCCCACCATGTATGACAGGCTGGCGGTCAGGACCGACTGGGGTGGGAGACAAGGGTTGGCCTTGATGTGTGCCCCATGCCACCCCCGCCTGCCCCTGCTTCACGAGCACAAGGAGAATGAAGGTGACCAGGCCCGGAAGAGTGGGAGTGTGGGACTGCATGGTCGGGCTCGGGGGCCCAGAGGCTCAGGTTTGGGGGTTACCAGTGCGACAAGGTTCCAGGGGTGCTTTCGCCGGAAGTCCCCACAACAGCTGAGGACGACGAGGGAGATGAAGAAGACGGCATAGGAGACATAGTAGGTCCAGACGTTCTGCCGGACAAAGCCCTTCACCTCCCCAACAAAAGTGAACACAGACACGGTGGACAGGGTCACCGACAGCTGCAGGGTCAGCACCAGGAACACCTGGGGAAAGAGCCGTTCAGAGTCATCCGCCGGGTGCCACACCCCACACCGCCTCCGGGACAACCCCACCCACCTTTCGGATGAAGGCCTGTCGGATGCTCTTGTCATCCCAGTTGGTGGCAGGGAAGTCCTGGTTGTCATAGTAGGATGGGGGACCCTCCTCCTGGTAGTTTCCATGCTGGGGTGCTGAGGAGCAGACATGCTGGGTCAGTGCCACTCATGAGCACCCCCTCCCCGCCCCCCCGCCCCTCCCTTCCTGAGACTCACAGTCAGGGTCTTGTCCTGGGAAGACCTGTGGCTGTCCATAGGGGTTGGGGGGGAAGGGGCTTTGAGGATACGGCCCCTGTGGGTAGCCCCCTTGGGGGTAGGGGCCCTGTGGGTAGCTCTCTTGTGGGTAAGGGCCCTGTGGGTAGCCCCCTTGGGGGTAGGGACCCTGTGGATAGCCCCCTTGGGGGTAGGGGCTGGGGCCATGGGGGTACCCTGGCTGACCGTAGGGGGTGGGCTGGAAAGGGGGCTGAGGGTAAGGGGCCCCAGGGTAGGGAGGCTGAGCATAGGGGGGCATGGGTGGCTGGGGCCCCCCCGGATATCCAGGGTTGGGGGTAGGATAGTTGTCCCCAGACACCAAAAAACTCTTTTCATGGGACATGGCCTCAGGTTCTGCGGTCCACCCCTAGAGGAAACAGAAAGGGAACAGTGGAATGGTTGGTTTGTCTCACAATGTCAGGATGCTGCCCTGGGCAACCCCACCTGCTACTGGAAACCCAGAGGGAAGAAAGGAGAGGCTGTGACCTTTGCCTTGGGCTGTGGGGAACCCAAGAGCCAGGGCCCTGAAAGGCAGGTGGGGACCGGACCGGGCCCTGGGGCCCTCTAGGCCGCCTCTAGGGTGGGGGAGGGGTGGGCGAGGGGACAACCGCCAGCCTCGGGATCTGGGGCTTGGGCTGTCTCTTACAAGGAGCCGGAGGCCTGCACTGCTGTCGGAGTCTCCCCTGGGTGGGAGCTCAGCAAGTGGGGGCTGGGGTCTCGGGTCTCGGTAGGGGACGTGTGGGGTGTGCCCGGACCCTCCCCTTCACATCCTGCCCCTTAAGCAGCTTTAAGGGGCCGGAGCCGGTGGCTATTTCTATCCCAGGAAATCCCCGGGCCATCTGTGACCAACGAGGGCCTGAACCTCCCTCCCCCCAAGAACAGGGCCCAGTGGCCCCTGGCTCCGGATGCCGGGGTGGGGGGATCAGGCCTAGATCGGCTGCCGGTGCCTGCCAGTGGGGTACGCTGGGAACAGCGGGGTGCGGGGGTGTGTGGGGGATGGAAGCGACCACGGGGCGTGCGGGGAACAAAGCGGGCGTGGGGCGAGGCGAAGCGGGTCAGGGGCTGCGGCCGCGGCACCGGCACCAAGGGCGGGTGGGCCCTCCGCGGGCCGGGGGCTCACGGGGCCGCGCGTCCCGCCGTCGCCGCAGCGCGCCGCCCCTCCCGCCGGCTCCAGGCCGCCGCGGCTCCCAGCCCCCACCGCCGCCGCCACCCCCGACCGCGAGCGGCCGCGCGTCCCGGCCGGACCCAGTGACCGACCCCGGCTCCGCTGGGATGCGCAGGACCCGCGTGGGGGCGGGGGCGGGGGCGACCGGCCGCGCGGCGCGGCGGGTCAGACGCGCTCCTGGGCTCGGGCCGGGGACTCACCGCTGGCGGGGCGCCGCAGGCCGGTGCGCACGGTGTCCGCTGCGCGGCCGCGCGGTGATGGCCGGTGCGCCCGCACCCGCACCCGCTCGGCTGGGCCTGCGCCTGCGGCTCGGGAGACGCAGCGGGGCCTTGTGACGGGGCGGGGCCGGGGGCGGGGCCTTGTGACGGGCGGGGCCTTGTGCCGGGCGGGGCCTTGTGCCGGGCGGGGCCTTGTGACGGGCGGGGCCTTGTGACGGGCGGGGCGGGGCCGGGGTTGGGGCTTGTGACGGGCGGGGCGGGGGCTTGTGACAGGCGGGGCGGGGAAGGGGCGGGGCCTTGTGACGGGCGGGGCGAGGCCGGGGGCGTGGCCGGCCGGCCGGGCGAGCTGGAGGCGGGGCCCGGCGGGCTGCGGCGGGCGGGGCTTCCACGGACCCGCCCCTCTATGCCCCGCCCGCCGCCGCCCTATGGGCCCCTCTTTGCCCCGGCCCCAGGCCCGCGCTCCTCACCCCCAGACCAGAACTCCTGGAGGCAAAGGTCTCCTCTGGCCAATTTGGCCCTTCAGGGAGTTAAGAAATTTATTCCTAAATGCGAGATTTGCGGAAGTTGCCCAGGACTGACCATCCCGTTCTCGGCCTTAAAACACGACGTTCACTTCTCCTTTTCATCCGGTCTGTTCCGAATCAGCAGGCCTGATCGTTTAATTCCCAAATCAATGCCTCATTGATTAATTGCCCCATTTCTCTATCAGCCCAAACTCTGCCTGGCTTGCTAGTAGACACCCTTATATAAATATTTTAATTGTTGTCGGTGCATAGTAGGTGTCTACGTTTATGGGGTACATGGAATGTATTGATGCAGGCATGTGGTGCATGATAATCGCATCAGAGTAAATGGAGTATCCAGCAGTTCCAGCATTTGTCCATGTTACAAACGATCCAATTATAATCTTGTAGTTGTTTTAAAATGTACCATTAAATTATTTTTGAGTACAGTCACCCTCTTGTGCCAGCAAATACGAGGTCTTATTTCCACACTAGAGACTCTTAATGCTTGCTTGTTTTCCTGATGTCCTCACAAGCTGCGAGGGGCTGAGGCCTGGGGATACAGCAGGACTGGAGGCCAGGCCGCCTCCCTGCTTGGCTCCTGAGTCCTCCTGGAGGGGCAGTGCCTGACACAGGCTGCTGCCAGCCTTCCCACCTGGGGCGTGGACCCGACCTGCACTCCTGCCCTTGGAGGGCCAGCCTCTCTCAGACTGCTCCGAGTCCTGTACCTATGGTGTACTGGTGCAATGTTTAGCAACCAGACCTAGTGAGGGAAAGCCTGGGCTGCGTCTTCTGCAGATGCCCATGGTGTGCATACCCCCACCAAGGCTGGTTTCAAGTTACCCCCAGTTGAACAACCAGTCCACAGAAATTCCTGAAAGTGTACCAGTCTGCTTGTGGTGTCAGTGGTGCCTGTGGCAGGCCCTCTGCAGCTGGGGTCGGCATCATGGGTCACCTGTGATGAGCTCTGTAAGAGGAAACGTGGAAAAGGCAGGGATGGATTTACGTTTGTAGAAGCAGAAGCTCACAAATTTGAGAGACCTTTAAGAAAAATAAAATGCAGCCAGGTGTGGTGGCTCACACCCTTAATCCCACCACTTTGGGAGGCTGAGGCAGGCAGATCACCTGACATCTGGAGTTTGAGACCAGCCTGGCCAACGTGGCAAAACTCTGTCTTTACTAAAAATATAAAAATTTGTACTAGCCAGGCATGGTGGTGTGCATCAGTAATCCTAGCTAATAGCAAAGCTGAGGCGGGAGAATCGCTTGAACCCGGGAGGTGGCGGTTGCAGTGAGCTGAGACTGTGCCATTGCACTCCAGCCTGGGCGACAAGAGCAAGACTGTCTAAAATAAAATAAAATAAAATAATAAAATAAATATAAAATAGCTGGGCGTGGTGGCTCACACCTGTAATCCCAGCACTTTGGGAGGTTGAGGTGGGTGGATCACTTGAGGTCAGAGACCAGCCTGGCCAACATGGTGAACCCCTATCTCCACTAAAATACACAAATTAGCCAGGTGTGGTGGTGCGTGCCTGGCGGTGCGTGCCTGGCGGTGCACACCTGTAATCCCAGCTACTTGGGAGGCTGAGGCAGGAGAATCACTTGAACCCAGGAGGTGGAGGTTGCAGTGAGTTGAGATCACGCCACTTCACCCGGGGCAAAATAGCAAAACTCCATCTCAAAAAATAAAGGGCAGAGTAAGGGAGATCATGCCAAAGGGATGGGGTTTGTGGGGAAGGCAGGGGCTAAGCAGAGGGAAGAGCCAGTCCTAGGCCACTGAGGCAGGAGTGACCTGTAGCTCTGCAGGAAGAGGAGCCTGGAGGCCTCTGAGCATCAGGGTGTGCAGGGGGCATGGGGTTAGAGAAGGGACTGAGGTCTGGTCAGGTGCAGCTTGGCAGGTCCTCAAAAGGACTTTTTTTTTTTTTTTTTTT